TGAGACTTCGTACTGCACTTCAAGAGGGCATGAATGAGATGGGAGGTATTGCGTTGTCTTCGTACTCACACCCGCCATCACCGTTATCCCCATGCTCATGTCCATCCTCCGTATCCAGCTTTTGTTCTTCCTTTAGTCTTTAGATCGTTATCACCTCTGCTCTTCCTCACTGTTAAAAATTGCGTGTCAAATAGACAGCAGGAAGTTGGGAATGGAAGGGCAATAGGACTTGCGTTCCTCTTGCCTTCCAGAGACGAGACCTTTCCCTAGGGTAGAACTGATTTGAAAGCCATCCTGTGTCACCTCGTAGACGCCATTACAGATTGTAGCAACGGTGCTACAAGTATTTCATTAAGTCCCCTGAAGTTAGTTGTCGCCCTTTTTTGCGTCGATGGCAGATCGCCACCGGCAGGCTCGCCGACAGCGTTCAAACGAGGTAAAGGTGGTTTCAAACTAATCTGCATATACTTTACTCCTCAATTTACCAAGGCACTCTATCCTTTCATAATGTGGCGGTAATAAGTCAAGATTTGTTTATTTACTCCATAGGAGTCGTTTTACTGTCACTAATGCATCCATGATGAAATCGTGTATTTAAGTGCATTAACCTCAGTGTAAAATACCCTCCCATTTCGCAATGCCCATGAACTTGTCGACTTTGTATATAACAATTCCCTTTAGCCGCCTTCAAAAGCATTTGTTCATCTAGGGAGGGGAATAGACAAACAAATTGTGGTTTTAGTTTTAATGAGGTTTCAACATCTTTGACTGACAAAGGAGAGAGGGTAAAGTAGCGCCCACGCACACAATTTAAATAGATAATCGGGGAATGTGTGGCGTGAGTGTCTCCTGTGAGTAATTTTTTTGGTGCGACAAAACAAAAGCAATAAAAATTGGACAAATTGGGAAGATTGTTTTCTCGGGTATTTTTGTCTCTCATTTCTGCTTCCCAAATTTTTTTGATTCAATTAGGTATATACGGCGTGGCAGTGAAGTGGATCTTTCCTACAATCAAAAGAAGTCAAAGTAATGGGGCGGGTAATGTGTTGTCGACGTGCAGAAGGGCTGGAGGGGGACCACTGACAATGGCCCGGAGGCCATACCGTCAAGCGGAGGTACAGCGCGTGGGGACTTAATTACCCGCGCAGCCAATACGAGGAGTTAAACAAATTGTCAAAGTACCTCCTCTATACGTTAATTCCATCGAAGTAAGGTGACTGGTAAGCGTTTGTCTCTTCCACCTCTTCCTTCAAGCTCTTAAAACGAGCAGATTGGCTGGAGCTCGTTTCCTTCTCCCGGACCATTGGCATGCGCTAAATCACGAGGGGCTTTAAACGCCCGCGAAGAAGAGCAGTAGTTAAGGCCTCACAATTTGCTGTGCTACAAATGCAGACACGAATATGGATAAAAGGATATGTGCATTGTAATGCATTTAGATGGACTTGGAAATTTGACCTTCAATGCATCTAACCAGATCCATATTGGCGCACGTCTAGAACATCAAAAAAAGGAGGGAGATGAGCAATCAGTCAGTCGAGCGTCTTACGTGTGCTATGGTTGGGACGTGGCACACTCCACTCAGACCTGTCAAATTTGTCAATGGCAAAGCTTACTTTTTATCCTTAAATCTAGAGGCCAGCTTTTTGTCTAGAACAGAAGAGGCATGATTATACCCTAGAATGCTCTGTTTGTGCTTTACCTATTTTGCAGACAAAATTATGTAGAAAGTAGAAACAGAGCGTGCTTTTAGGTAAAAATATGTAGTAAAACTGCCTAATGTTGTTGTTGTAATCAATGTGAGATCCATGACGGGCCTTCATAAAGCCGACTGACGTGCTGGCGTGAGCAGCCCAGACTGCATAAACGCTCTCCCAGTTTAGTCACATAAGTCAATTGCCACTTCAACAGATTGCATGTCGTGATAATTATCTCAAGTTGAAAGAAATTCAGTTGTTTATTCAGTGGTTGAAAATGCCAGCTAGTGTAGTCCACACAATAAATCGCGTGGAGTTAACTTTGGTAATTAAAAAGGGGCGTAAACAAGGGAAGCACGCACACATTTAGGCGATTGTTCCTTAGAATTAATGCCAACGATTACTCCTTGTATTGGAGTAAGAGGCGGTGTATTTGATGCATACCTTCCAACCATCTATTTACATTGACTAAGGGATATACAGAATAAGTGGTCTGAAAAGTAAATCAGCAAGATCGGGTTATTTAACAAATGAAAGTTGTGGCAACATGAACGCTGATGATTCCTGGGGTTTAGGAAAACACGCAATTTACCTGGTAAACCACGGAACAGCGACCACAAAATTAAATCCTTCAACAACGACAAAGTCAATTAAAGAGGCGAAAGCACAAAATTAAGAAAAATGTCTGTAGCCAGAGACAAACATCCGAAGCAATGCAGGTTGGGGTTCAGAAGTGCTTATTCATTGCGAGACAACAGCAAAACGTCTAAAAGTCTTGTATTTGTAGACACTACTATAAAATATTTGAAATGGACACCTCCTAAAATACGGTGTTATTCTTGCTCTTTTCTTTACTACTTCCATTTAAGTTACAATATTATTTATCTAGGTGCTCAAGTAGAGCGGGCATTTGGATTCGGGTTCTCTCATGCCCCCAAAAAAGAAGGGAGGTGATGGGCCTTCAAAGAAGACCATTGAGAAGGAGAAGAAAAGGATAATTGAAGACAAGACATTTGGATTGAAAAATAAGAAGGGGGCTAAGCAGCAGAAGTATGTTCAGCAGGTGCAAAAACAAGTCACCTACGGCAACAAATCTTTTCGAGATGTATGGTACTTTTTCCAAAAGCTTACTTGACTAACTAAGATGGAGAAAATTCAGCAAGAAAAGGAGGCTCGCAAGGCTGAGAAAAAAGGAGGACCTGATGAACTCACCTTACTATTCAAGCCTGTTGCCGAACTACAAAAGATTTCAAAAGGTAATTAAGTTCTCCGGTGAAGAACGACGCCTCTAGGGGCTGACCCCAAATCCATTCTCTGTATATTTTTTAAGCAGGGAACTTGTATCAAAGGTGATAAGTGCAGGTTCTCCCATGACTTGACCATTGAGCGCAAGGCTGAAAAGAAGAACATCTATGAAGACGAACGCAATGAGATGGATGATTGGAACCAGGAACAACTGGAAGATGTTATATCCAAGAAACACGGCGCCCAAAATAAGGGCCTTCCTCCCACGACTATAGTAGTTTTCTTCAATGAGCCTTTTTATGGTGCCTTTTCGTAGATTTGCAAATATTTCCTAGACGCGGTGGAGGCGGGTAAGTATGGATGGTTCTGGAACTGTCCAAACGGTGATGGGTGTCATTATCGTCACTGCCTCCCTCCTGGGTTTGTCCTCAGAAAGGACAGAAAAAAGATGGAGGAGCAGAAGGAGACTATTTCCTTGGACGAACTTATTGAAACAGAGGTGAGCGGTTTTGTCTCCGAGACTGATTCCTGTCTTCATAAAAGTATTAAAATCCTTCCTTTTCCCAGCGTCGCGCTCTGGGCATGAACCAAACCAAGGTTACCCTTCAAACCTTCTTGGCGTGGAAGAAGCGGAAGGTGTGTCGTTGTTTAAGGTGTTGTCTTAAATCTTGCTCTTTCTTCTAAGCCCTTATATGTCTACGTTTTTCGTTAGCGAGCAGAAAAAATTGCCGCGGGAAAACAGGCGAAGGAAAAGAAACAGGCTGATTTCGCCCAAGGTCGTATGTTTGGTGTGAGTGCTTGCTTTTTATTCCTACCTCTCTTGGACAGAAGTATCTGCCAATTTTAATGTTAGTCTTCGAGTGTAGTGGATTCTACCATCTTGTAATTTGCAGATCTCTGGTCGAGAAATGTTCGAGTTCAATCCGGAGTTCGCGAACGAAGGCGAAGAGATCGACGGCGATATATGCGATTCTCGACTTCGTGAGCCAGAGGATGGTGAAGTAAGTAATTGACATTGCTTACTGCTTTAAATGTTTTGGAAATGCGACTTCCTCACCATTCTGAGGGGGTAATTCACTACATTCATAACGTTTTAACCGAGCAAAAGGTAAATCATGTTTTTCATTACTGTCAGGAGGAATACGAAGTTCATGATATTGATGTCAGCGCTTTCGATGTTGGCTTTTTGGAAGATCCTGGTAAGTGTCACTTGTAGCGCGTACTTTTTGTGAGTCTTTAAAGTGATGTCTTTGGTCCTTTGAGTCTTACCTTGGGTTTTCAACTTTATTTGAAGTATACCCGAATACCGTGTTGAGCATGCAAGCCAAGAAGTAGCCTTAATGACTGCGTACATAGGAACGGGGCTATCTATGGTAAAAGTGGCCTAATCAGAGCTTCAATCAACCTTCAAATCTCCAGTTTCGGCGATCGGCAATCTCTGACAGTAGCATTGTGCCGAGACGAAGGTGCCCATGCGTAAATTAAATACTTTGTACAGCCAAATGTGCCAAGCTCACCAAACTGTGAGCCGTATTGCTCGCATTTTCCAAGAGCACTGAAGAAATCAACATCCTTGGCTGGCTGAGGGTCCGATTCGCGACCTCCCTATGCCGTTAGAGCTATACGGAAAGCTTACTTTATTTTCGCTTGAATGGAACTCCAAAAACTTTTCCCCATGAACTGACTACCTTCACCGTCATTACAAGCAGGGCTATTCTAATTTTCCGCTTTTAGAAACCGGTGACGCTGCGTCTCCAAACGACGAAAATGTCGCTGCCAACACCGCTAATGCTCCCCCGAAAGGTTAGTCTCTCACAAGAATTGTGCCTGCTTATCTTTTGTGAGTAGGGTCTTCATTATCTGCTTTCATACTGGTGGTGATTGATGCCCGCGGGAAGCTGTCAAGAGCTTAACTCTGCTTTTTTTCCTCAGACCAAATCGTCATTGATGAGGCGCTCTTTAACGACGCCGATTTGGAGGGTTTGGAGGAGGAGCTGGAGGACTTGGGTGTAGAGAGTTAAGACCTTTCTTTTTTGTGTGCCATACTGGTTATCATTTTCACCCTTTCAGCGTGCAGTTGTATAAAATTAGAAGGACGTCATTCTCTCCTTTCTGATTCTGTGGTTTAGAGTTGAAAGTGAATATTTTGGGTGTGGAAGTGGGTTTCCAGACCCGGAGCTAGGTGACAATTAATTCACTCAGCGTTGTTTTTTTCTCAAGATAAATAAACGCGGAGGCTGCTAACGATTGACGCGAGGTGAACCAGGCTCTCTTCAAAGTTGACTCGGTGCAGGTTGACCTTGCGTAAGAGGTCAAGGAGAAGGACTTAAGAATTCGTGGGTCTTGTGATCAAAATCTGCGGGTTTATTAGCTACAAGGTGATGGAATTTTGGAGTGAAATAGGCTGGTTGTTGAGGCGCAGTTTTGGCCATAGCGATGGTGAGCACACCTTTGTCGACTAACATACACTTTTTGTTGGGAGTCGAGAGATGACTGCCCCACTCTCCTCGGTATCCTCTGGCATTCTTAAAGGGAGTTGAATGTTGGCAACGCAAAAGGCCAAGGGTCAGCTCGTCGTCTTCTCTCCCCCTCTCGTGAGTGGGCGGAGTATTCGTGATAGCAATGACATACAACGATGACCCGTGTTCGAAGTGGACCGGAGATGTAAAGTAGGGAGTCGCAAGAGCTAATGAAGGTTCTTTTTCATCTAAAACGGCTTGCCTCATTTGGGAGCAGAATAATCCAGTGAGAAGCCCAGTTGTATCAATTTGCGAGTCGCTAGAGGGCCGAAGAGCGACAAGAGAGATAATGGAAGTAGGGGGAAGGGGGGAGGCTTCTAGCGCCTTTATAGGGTTTGTAGAACAGACAGGTCGGAATTACACTTATCCAGAATAGTAATGGTAACGGTGAACCGATGCCTATCTGTATGAGCCTCATGATTCGTACAGGTAAATAGTCACGGATCTCCACTAGGGGTTGCAACAAGTTATTGGAACCAGCAGTACCGGTAGCAGCACGAGCTTTTCAGATCATTTGACACCAGAATTGTAGGTTTGTTTGCTTTTAAAGGCACTTTAACCTCGATGGTTGCACCATTTTTAATATCCTTTTTGGCTTTTGAGACATCTTTTGGGCTGCAATTGTCACTTTGATTCGAAATGATTACCTTGTCGTGGAGATCAGAGATGGGGAGTGAAGGAGACACTGCGAGGGTGAATGATGATAGTAATCGTGGGGGGAAGGGCGCATCTCAAACTGTGCGAGACCTAGCAACAACTGAAGTTAATGGCGCAGTCAGGCTTATCCATTTTTCCGTTTGAAGGATAGGTTAACCCTCCTTTCGGGCAACGATTAGTTGATTGGACGATTTGACAGATCGAGACTGATCTTGTGGACTGCGTTAGGGGGATATCGACCACCGAGTGACGAGGTGGGCGATTACTCTTGAGTCGGGGAGGGAAATACGACCATCTTAGCCCCTCAGACTAATTTCGGTCAATCCGGGTAACACACTGCTCGAAGTAATTGAATCACATGGCCCGATAAGCTACAGTTTTGATGGTGAGAAATTGGGAACA